GAATCCTTGATACATTTACTATACTATTTATTTATTTTTTAGTGTTACTAATATTTTTAAATTAGTTTCTTTAGCAGCAATTAAAATTAAAATTTTTTGTATGGATTATTTATTTTATTCTTGCAATTAGTTTTCTAATTAAATGCATTAAAATAAAAATCCTTCTTTAACTCTCCATGAATTACCTTAAATGTATTCAAGTATAGAGGCAGTTATACTTTATTTACATTATTTTAGATTACTTTGAATCTGATTCTACACAGGTGAAAATATGAAATTCAATTCATCTTTAAGAAATCGATCTAATTCTTTTGGATTTTGATTAATAAAGTATAATTAATCAGCATAGCTTTTAGAAAACGTTTCATAATTAAGACTCTTAAGATTCTATATGAATAATTGAAACTTCTATAATAGTTTTGAGATTTAATCTTCACATTAAAGATGTATGACATCATTTTAATCTGTAAATTTCATTAAATCTACTAGATTTTATAATGTATCGATTTCAGAAAATTCAATTGATTATTATACTTACATAATTTAACTTTTGAAATTATTGGTTAATTCTAGTAATTTAGCTTAATTAGGCTTTCTTTCATCGATGCTTTCACTCATTTCAGTAATTAATTCTTATTTCCAAGATTATTTTAAATTTTAAAATAAGTTTACAATTTTATCAATAAAATCTGATGTACATTTTTTTAGAGCTTATATGGTTGAATCCAATTAATTTTTTTATCTTGTTCTTGCATGTATTAAGAACTCATTAAATTTATTTAATTCATTAACTAATGTAGTTCTGTAATCACTATTATTTATAATTAGTAATTCTTATTAGATAGCTTATACTGATATTTCAAATTCCTTTACTTTTTCAACAAATTCAACATTATTTAATTATTCTATTTTTTCTTTTGATGCTATTAAAAAATCAATTTAAGTTTAAAGTTTTATTTAATTTGATTTAAAATTATATTATGTTTTGTTGTCTTTTCTGTTTACATATTCTATTAACATTTCCATTTTCTTAATAGAATCAAATTTGAAATTGAGTATTTAGTTAATTGATAAAAGAGTATAGTTAAAAATAGAACAAAAATAATTAAATATCTACCCATTTTTTCCATTTTGATATTCCTTTATATAATTAGATAAGATCCCATTTTCTGTATCAAGTAATTGAGTCAATTATAAATACTGATTGATTTAATATTAGAAATACAAGTTGAAATCAAATTTAGGATTTATTATGAATTCAATTTTCTATTTCTTTTAAATTTTTTCAAATTCTTCTAAAGAAAACTTATCGAAAAGTAAAGATTTTAATTCAAAAAATTATTCATATTACATTTAAAGAATTGAATAAATAGAATGTAGGTATTCAAAATTACTATTTTATCTTTTAATAAATTCTTCATTGAGATTCTCTAAAACAGTTTTCATTTCTGTTTCTTATGTTTGTTTTGTAATGATAATTTATTGATTTATCATAATATTTTAAGATGTAAACATAGATGCAAGTAGCATAATCTATTCATTCCATTATTAACAAAATTTAATAGAATTGATAAGGTAATTCAATTATATTTAAAAAGGTTTTTCTTATATTTTGGAAAAAGCTAAGCAATCTTCAGGCATCTTCTTTCCAAATTATTTCTAATAGTTATTTGATTATTCTTAAACTAAATTTATTTATTTGAGCCAATTTATAAGTTTATCATAGATATCTCTTTTTTTATCAAATTACTTTTTACTTTATATTTTAGAATAATTATATAAAAATGTTTGAAAACAATTACTATATATTTATGTCTATTATTTATTAAGATCATCTGATTTTATTAAGATTGGTGATATTATTTCAATAATATTATTTATATATTCTCTTGAAATTTAAAATTTAATAACATCGTTAAGCAAAGTTTGACATTATTCTTATGATAATATAAGGTAATATTAGAAATCTGAAAAATTCATTGTCTTAGATTCTATTTGATAATAACTAATTAAAAAGGCTGAAAATTTATTTAAAAATTCATTGAAATTGTTAGAAATCTTATCAAAAGGAATTTATCTTAATGATTAGATCATTTTAAAATAATCTTAATTAGATTCATTATCTAAATTTAATGTATCCTTTGCTGATTCTATAGAATAATACCCAATAAATTAAGGAATAATTTGATTTCCATTCATAAAAAAGTTTTAAAGATTTTGATACTATCTTTATATACTTTATAATTTAATCCCAATATTCGAAGTTGATCCTTTTGCTATAATTTCAGCAATTTCAAAATCTTTATGAATAACATTAATCAAATTATCTGATTAGGCTTGTTCCCATGTCATAATTTAATTTGATCCCTATTATAAACTTTAAAACTTGATTTTTGTAATTTGAGGTTTACATGCCATAAGTTCACTTGCCATCTTGATCCAAGAATATTATATTGCCCAATCACTACCTTATTTAATTATATTAGTGTAGTTATCACTTATTTTATCTTCTATTTCATTAAACATAACACCAGCTTTAATACTCATCAAGATGTTCCATTTTAATTATTCTAAAAATAAGCAATTCTGAAACTGTTCCATTGACTTCTTTTTTTGGAATTACTAATATAAATACAAAGCCCCTTTTGATATGGAACTGGCTAAATCTGGAGATGGTTTTAAACTTACTGCAGAGTTAACAAGTTCTTTAAGAATTGCAAATGCAGAACTATTTCTTTCTTATTACTCTTCTTGTGTGGGTATATACTCTATACAGGCTTAGATTAGGGTCAACTCATAAATCAAACCATTATAAAATAATGATGCTTCACCGTCTAAATTAATCTAATTAATAATATTGCCAGTTAACTATGTCCATTTTTCTATCTATTATTATTGACTTCTATCATTCGAATGAGAGTAATAAACAAATATCAATCTGGAGAATGAGTTGCAGATTTTTAATATTTTTAAAGCAATCAATCTGTCCCATTAGATAGTTGTTGAAGCCAATTCTAAGAAATTTTAAAGTGTTCTTTCTATAATTTATTTGTGTCTTTTAACTAAGTCAATTTGAAATTGGAAATAACAAAACAATTATTCAAGTTCTTAAAACCAAGCTATGTTTCTACATAATACACTTTTTCCTTCTTCTGTACTCATAATTTCTTTGACATGTTCAATTTGTTCTAATCTTTTATTTAAGTTGACAAGCAAACCATTCAAAAGTATTGAATGTAATTATGCTTCAATTTATATATTCTAAGGTATTCCTTATGTATTATTAGAAGAAGAAAAGGCAGACCCTCCTCCTCTTAAAGATTATTCATAGAATCTCTACTTTTGCATAAATAAATATATAGTTTGTCTAATTTTATTAGAGAAGCAAAATATTCATTATTTCAGATTTTGCCATCAATTTTAATTAAATTGACTTAAATAATTTGTTTTGAATTAGTGAAACATAAATTCAAAATATCAATAATTAAATTCTTATTATAGTATATAACAGGTACATCAATAGGGAGTAATTTATTAGTTTAATAAAGTAATTATAATTTATAGTTATTCTATAAATATTGAATAAGATTATTGAAATGAAGAAATAAAAATCAATTTAAAATTTTATTGATATATAAATTATTATATAATTTTAATAAATTCTAAAGTTATATAAGTATTTAGAGATAATCCTAGTTTATATTCATACTCTAATTAAATCTATATTATAAAACTAAGTTTTCAGTCGCCTTTCTTCCAAATAAATTATGACTATAATTTTATAAAGATGTTAGCAACAGTATAATATAATGAAGTCTTTTAGGGTAAAAATAAAATAAATGGAATAGAAATTACAATCAAAGTAATCAATAACTTAATTTAGCGAATTTATTAATACAATTATTAATTTAATCTAATTGGAAGCAAAATAAAATACATTGATTTATTTAGAATTCAATGCTTTAATGACAATAAATACAAATTTTTATAACTCTTTAGAATTGATAAATTTGGGTACATTCAAGAGATTATATCAAATGTATATCATATAATTTACAATCATAACATAAAGGCTAATGTTTAATTTAAGATAACTTAGAAGAGAACTTAAAATTAAAGATATTCAATTTTATGCTACTAAATTTTTATTCATTAATACATAGAGCCAATAAGAATTTTGAAAATTTATTGTAAGAATAGAAAGAGATGAATTAGTAACCATAATTTGTAATAATATTTATTATTCATTCTTAATAAAAGATAAAAGAGTGATAAATACATTAATTAATGATGAATTATCTTTGATTTCAAGTGTTATTGGTAAATATTAAGAATTAAGAATAATATACTATAAGAATTATGCAACTATAGTTTTAATAATAAACTTTATAGATTTCATAACATTGTTAAAATTAAACACTTTTTGAGCATAATAACATTTATTATTCATTCTTTTTTGTATTATTCAATATGAGAATAAACTGTTTAAATAATCTAATTAAAATGAAATTTTATTTGTTTCTAAAAATAGGTAAAAGAGAGAATTAAAAAAAAATCAATTGAATTCTCAAGATAGAAATTATTAAATGAGATAATCTATTGATAATTAATTGTCTATTAACAAATTGATAATTACTGTATCAATTAAAAAAAATAGTAAGAAATAAAATAAGATATTAAATTAGATGATGATGTTTACTCAACTTTTATACTCTTTGTAACTATTATTCATTTCATAAATATATTTATTAATAAAAATATTATATTATTATTGTACAATATAATTCTTAAATATACTTATTGAACATTAGAATTTTACTGAAAGCTTATGCTCTTCTTAGTTCTTATATTCAAAATAAAATAAATAAGTTTATATTCAATAATTTTTGTGATTATTATGTTCAATAATAAATTCTAGTGTAAATCAAATACTCTATTTTATAGTTCTTTTTTTGATTATATAAAAGGGGGATTAATATCTTTTTTTGATTAATTATTTTTTATTTTTAAAATGGCAAGAAGAGGTCAATAACCACCACCATAACAACAATAAGCTCCACCTGCTCAAAAAAATTAAGCAGGAAAATTCAACCCTGCTGAGTTTGTTAAACCAGGACTAACTGAAGAAGAGGTTTTGGAAATAAAAGAGGCTTTTGACTTATTTGATACAGATGGGTATATATTATTTATAAAATCTTAGTACTTAATCTATTGACCCAAAGGAATTAAAGGCTGCAATGACATCATTAGGATTTGAAGCCAAAAATCAAACAATCTATTAAATGATTAGCGATTTGGATACAGATGGAAGTGGTCAAATAGATTTTGCTGAATTTTTGAAATTAATGACAGCAAGAATTAGTGAAAGAGATTCTAGAGCTGACATTTAAGTATCTAAAATAATAATAATTTTCATTAGAAAGTCTTCAATCTTTTTGATTCAGAAAGATCTGGTGTAATCACTTTGAAGGATCTCAGAAAAGTAGCAAAAGAATTAGGAGAAACAATGGATGACTCTGAATTATAAGAAATGATTGACAGAGCTGATTCTGATGCGGATGCTTAAGTGACATTCGAAGATTTCTATAATATTATGACCAAAAAGACATTTGCATGATTCAAATAAATAACACATAATAATATAACATACACATATATCAATCTAATATATAAAGAAAATACATGAAATCTTAATAAAATATATGTAAATAGTTTAAATCTCATTTATCATTTTCTTATCTTGGATCAATATATACTGCTGGAACTAAACCTGCTCTATAGGTAGAAATAACCTTATGAACAAGTTCAGATCTTTTTATTTTTGGATGATCATTAAAATCTTATTGTTAAAATTCAATGAAATCATTAGTAGAAGCAGGAAGACTATAATAATGACTATAAAATCCAGAATTACTCCAAATAACTAAAGAATATTCTTTTCCCACTTAAATTTTTTATGGAATCTTAAATATTATATCATAACATCTATCAATAATCTTTTCATTATTATGCTTTATTGTCTTACTTTCCATGTAAATTGCTTTTTTTAATAAGTTTTTTTTATGATATAGGGCAAAGTTAAAATTAATAGGTTTTTTTTAATGATTAAGTTCACTTGAACAAAATAATATAGGTTATTTAAAACCTAATAATTTGAAATTTTTAAGTGCTGTGAAGATGGTTACAAATTGAGCACCTTATTCTAATCTCCATGGCCAATTTTCATCATTAAATATTTTAAGTCTTTATATTTCCAATTTTTCTATCATAAGAGCTTCATCAATCTTTTAAGGACTTCCAACTCTAATATATTCTTCTGATTTTAATTTCTTCATGATTTATGGTGATTATTTATTAGCATCTTTATCTATAAAGGGTAGACTATTTAAAGACTAAGGAAAATGTGGTTTTGAAGAACTGACAGGTGATTTAATAGCATCAATTACTCTTTGTAATTTTGAAGAAATTGATTCTCTAAGAACTTAATAAATCTAATATTTTTTCTTGAGAAATGCACTTAATTAAGTTATTTCTTTAGGAGGTTTTTCATACTTTATTTCATATAATTAGGTTGTTAAGTCATTCTCAATAGAATGAACTAACTTTTATATTATTACCTTGAATATTGTTACAATACTCATAGTTTCTTTTACAAAAACATTATCAATGAGATATTAGATTGGAACTGTCTCATGTTCATGTTTACATAATTTGCATAAGCATCTAGTTTAACAATTGGAATCTACACAAAAGTTAATAATATCTTCTTTATGCCTTGAACAATAAGGATTCATTAAAAACAGCTAATTTAATAAATAAAAAATATCATTAAAAGTAACATATAAAAAAGAGATCACATTTCAACTTTTTAATCTATGAATTCCTTTCTCATAAAATAGTTACTTTTCATTTTCTCTGGTTCTTAAGCAGCAGAATAGTAATTACTAATTCCAGGTATATAAGAGAATGGATCAGCAACTTTATTACTAAATATTAAATCTAAGAATAATTGATCAGAAATGTATTCTTAAAATAAAGTTTGTGATTCAGTATCATCAATTATAGTTTCTCTTAAGTCTTTAATCTTTATTTTAGATTATTTTTCTCTTTCTCTCAATTCAATCAATCCCTTAAATCCTTTAGGAATTTAATTAGGTTGTTTAGAATATTTATGTTTTTTTATCCATTTAACAACATTGTTCCCAATCATTTTTGGAAAGTTTTTATAATTGATATCTTCTTCATTAATTTTGATGGTTTCACATTTTGTCATAGATGTTGGTTAATGGTGGGTTTAATTGAAATCAGATTATTGTAATTCTTCATAATATTCTCCATTTTCTGATTGAAACAAAGAGTCGTGGTCAAACATATTATTACTCATTATTAGATAAATAATTCTATAAGCTAATTCATCGAAGGTCTTAAAGGTTTTACGTAATTCTATTAAATATTATATAAAATATTTATTTTAAAATATAAATATCATTAAGTGATGTAGCTTCCAACCATTTTCTCTGGTACAAAACTAGCTGCATAATAATTACTTATTCCTTTAATGTAGGCCATTGGATCATTAATTTTAGGACTATAAATCAAATCTAATAATAATTATTTTTTCAAATAATTTTAAAATAAATTCTAAGATTCTTGATCTGAAAGACAAGCTTATCTCAAATCTGCTATTTTAAACCCTATTTATTAAGGTTTATTCTTTTTTTTAATCATTTCTTAAATTCCTTTGGGAGGTTTTGAGAAATTATTAGTAGCATATTTGCATACATTATTTCCAATTAATTTTGGAAAATTCTTCAATTTTCTCTCTTACCCTTTATATTTTGTAATTGGTAATTATTATCCAAAGGTTTTTTTAGAGGATATTGATTTTTTTAAATTAGATTATGTTTCTTCAGTACATAGTTGTTCATCATGAAACTAATCTTTAGAGTTTATTTCATTTACTTCTAACATAGAGATCATTTAATAATAATTAAGAATTATCTTCTTTTAGAATTTAAATAGAAATGGTATTTCTATTAATCAAATGTATTAGACATATATTCGTAATATTTATTAATTCAATATAAAAGTTAGAAAAAGGTGTATTAACATTAGTTGAAACCTTCAAATTGAGAGTTCATATAAAATACATTATTTATCTTTTTATATATAAACCATATTTTCTAAATTCTTATTTATAATACTAGAATATTATCTTATTGTAATTTTACTAAGATTATTTCAAATAATATTATTATTTAGTACTTTAAATTTACATCTATAAGACTTGGATTAATGCTTAGAAAAAGATCAAAATAACTAATCTATTTATAATAATTTTTGGCATATATTTATTATTACAAAAAGAATATTTGAATCCATATTATATAGATTAAGTTATATCCTAAATTAATATTTTTGGATAAATTATTTATTAATATTAAATACACAAATGAAATTCTTAAATGAACTAAACAAATATTTATAATTAAACTCTACATTTTGAAACTAATTACACACTCATAATTTCTATTGATATCAATAGGATAATTACTACTATTATTATTTTTATTCTTAAATCAATTTATTTAAAGATAAATTAAAGTTAAAAATCAAATAATCAACTTAAAACTAAGGGATATATTTCATATTTTCTATATTATAATATATATTAATTTGCTGGTCAAAATGAATTATATGATATCATCAATTAATTAGAATTCTATAATTAATTATCTTAGAGTTATTATTATTCATATTTAATAGTTAATCTTCATTAGGTTAAATTAGTTTAATATAATATATCCCTAACTAAGAATTTTGATAGTATAATATAAGAGTTAAAGCAATAGTTAATTATATAATTGGTTATATAACTTAGATTAATTTAATTATTGAAGCATGCAAAATAATAAGTCAAAAAGATTAATGTTACTTTAATAGTATTAACACAATATATAAAGTTATCCTTTAATACAAAAGTCTTCATTATTATTTTTGCTAAGGTATAAATATAATATTTATTTATAATAAAATTATTGATTTCTATAAATTAAAATTATTAAGAAGAAAAAATTCATAATATATAGTTTCATTTTGTTGGTTATCTTGTATTAATTTCTAACAAACTTTTAAAAAAGCATGGATTTGATCTGTATAAATAACTATTAACTTTTTCGACACCTTCAACTACTAGTAATTCATAATCCGGCACTTTTCCTGCTTTAGAACATGGTAATGATAGAAGAGTATCTCCATATTTATTAAACTAATTATATATTTGAATTAAAACTTTTGGAAAATCTTTTGTTAATTCACATTGCTAAATTATTGGCTTAAAAACATTTAAGTTTACAAATATTGGAATGAAACAAAAATCAACAAGTGAAATTTAATCTCCATTCATATATTTTTTATTCTCTAACCATTTATCTACTTATTCAATATTTTTTTTTAATAATTCCCTTTATTTAAAGAATTTCTTTTAATATATAATAATTAGTACCTCCTCATCATAACAAAAAACAAAGATAGACATATTTTTCATTAGTTCACTTGCATATTCAAATTTACCTCTATCTAAGGCTTTTTATATTGGATCAGATGGCATAATCTAAGGCGGTGATATTTCATCGATATATTCCATTATTGCATCAGATTCAAATAAAACAACTAAGTTACATTATAATTTATTATATACTGTCATCTCCAATCATTAATATTGGTACTCTAGATAAAGGACTAATTTTCACAAACCATTCAGGTTTGCAATGCATTTCAATAAATTTAATTTCAAATTTAATGTTCTTGTGACACATTAAAGCAAGTACTCTCATACTGAAAGGACATAATTTAAAGGTTACTAGAGTGTGTTTAAGTTTTTGCATCAAATCTTAAATAAATTCAAGAATAAATTTAATTACGTCGAAAGAAATTCTGAATTCTTTATTTTAATACAAAAACATAATAGAATGATTTTTACTAATAGAACTAATTAGTATATTCCTAGTTCTAAAATCTTCATATCTTACCATAATAATTAATTTTTAATGATCCTCAATAAATTAATTGATATTTTGATGTAATTTCTAATATTCTTAAATTATAATCCAGTAATTATAGTTCTGAATGAGGAATTTAATATTTATTAGACTATTTATTAACCTTTTATTATGGATAGATTATCTGAGATCATTATTGGAAATTGATGAAATTTATAAATATAAAAGTTTTAATATATTAAATTATTAAAATATGAAACGTCGTCCATAAAGTGCCATTATATCTAAAATGATAAGAGAGAGATAAGAATTAGCAATAAATAAGTAAAAATGTAATTCTAATAGAGTTCATAAATGATTTACTCAAAAAAGCAAACTCCATAATAGGTAGCCCCAAAAGAGTATTTTGAAGATCAAGAATAATTATATTTTGTAAATTTATAATTGAAATAATAATGCAATGAATATAAATTTGAAAATTAAAAACTCAAAGCCTATATAGCTTAATTAAAAGTATAGTAAATATTTAGTATAGAAATAAATCATAAAGATATAGAAACTAGATAAATATTAGGTAAATTGTGATCCTCTTGGAGTAATTTAAAGTGGAGAGGGTAGTATAGTACCTATTTTAAAGGCTAAAGTAAAGGAATAGCGTAATTAAATTGAAGAACTATAAACTGATTTGCATTAATAGTATAAGTCTGTTAAATTAACAAAATTATCAGAATTATAAAGAGAAATTTAGAATTAATAGAATGAAATTATGAAACTTAAATAAGTAATTTAATGGGCCCTTAATATTAATGATTAAGAGTAAATTATGATATATAATATTAAGTTTAGTAAATGATCCAAATGTTATTGAAAAGTTATCAAAATTTACAATAACAGTACACTAATAAGAGAATTCAATTTAATAATTAATAAAATAAAATGATAAATTAAAAATGGAATATTAAGAAATGTCTAATGATAATTCTAAATTAATTGAAGAAATTAAATAATTAAATTTTGAGAAAATTAATTATAAGAAACAATTAGAAGAATAAACAATAACTGAAAATGAGATGTATTAATAAAAGAAAAGAGAATTTTTGGAAATGAAATTAGCGTATTGATATTGTAATTTATATTAAAGTGCTACATTAAAATAATTGGATACATTAAAGGTTGAGTTATCATTATATGAAAATAAGTCTAAAATATTATAGAAATAAATAAAAGATTAAGAAAAAGAGTTTAAATAGACAATAATGGAATTATAAAAATAAAAATAAAATTTAGAAGATTTATGCTATAAAAAAGATATAATAATGTAATATAAACAATAATATATTAGTTAAGACTTAAATGATAGAATCAATATTTAGGATTTATTAAAATAAAAAAATTCTCCTAAACCATCTGATTCTCCTCTTACATTGTAACTCAAAAAGTCTTTTTTTCCTCCTAAAACCTATAGAGATTAAATAACATAATTTCCAGAAAATTAAATATCAAATATTAATTAAGATATTAATTGTAGTCCTATTGATAAGAATAAATTAGAAGTATTATTTTAATAATTAAAATTCAAAATCATCTCTTAAAAATTAACAAAAGAAAGAGTTCATTTTACATTTCATAACAAAGAATTCATATAATTAGGAGATGCTATATAAATTTTTATGAATGCACCCTATAATTTTTAAAAATCTGATTCATTAATACTTTGTAGATATCTAATTGGAGAGGATCAAGGATTCTCTAATTAAATATAATGGTAAGATACATAAGAAGTTAGAGAAATTATTGATTAACTATATAATCATCCAAAAATTAAATCTTAATATGTATATAAATATATCTTAATATAATAGTTAACATTTTAGACAATTTTGAAATAAAATTTCTATTCTAAAGCAATTAATGAAAAATTAATTCAATGTAATATACAAAATAAAATATATAATAAAGATGATTTGATATTGCTATTAAAAAATAACTTTAATTTCACTTATGAATAAATAGATTATATGTTGATGATTTATTATTTATATTCGAATGAAGTAGATAATATCAATATAAATGTTCTAAGTAAATTTATATAACAAGAATGTGATCTATAAGCTACTCTTCATAATTTAACATATGTTTGTTTAGATTCTATTAGATATATTCCAAAGAAAATCAATAAAGTTTCATATTCAGATGATGAAGAATTTAAGTATCCTGTAGTTGAAAGTAAAGATAAGTAATCTATATAACAATAAAGAGATGATTCAAAAATTAAAACAAATGAATAATCATATTAAGTTTAAAATATAATTATAAGTGAACAATACTTAACATTTTCATGTATAATTTTTAAATATAATAGAATTTAAAACTTGTGAATAATAACTAAAAAGTTCTGAATCTAGAAAACCTAGTAATCATAATAATAACAGTAGTGATATTTTCTAATATAGTCAATCATTATTACCTCTAGCTACTTTAAAAAGACCATCAGAAAATTAATAAATGACATCAGATAATTCTATTTAATTTAATATTACAAATTAATTCTAATCTCCATAGAAAAATAAGTAAAGAATAAATTAAATTAATGAATTTCAAACTGGAAAAGAGATTTTTGATTAAAAAAATATTCATTATAATATTGATAATGATACATAAATTACTGATATAAATAAAAAAGAGGATGATTATTATGAAGAAATCTTAGAGGAATACATTGAAGAATTATGATCATTATAAAGTAATAAAATTTTATTTTGATATTTTAATTAATAAAATGAATGTTTATTGTTAAATGGCTGGATATCATTAAGGTATTTATAACATGGCTATTATAAAGATGAACCCTTGGAATTATTATGTCTTAATCCTGAATGCATTTCCAACAATAAAGTTCTAAATTGCATAGCTTGTATAGAAGAAAATCATTCTGGTCATTCTGTTATACATTATAAGAAATTTATAACTTTATTGTAAAAATAAGGACCATAATTATTGAATGAAATTGTATTAACATATTTTAAGTTTAAGGATTTTAAATTATAGGATTCTACCAATATGTAAAATGATATGTTAAATAAAATAAGAGAAATAATCAAATAATTAACTGAATTATAAGATATTGTTAATGATGCAATAAATAAATAAAAGGAAATGCTGGAGAGAAAATTATAATACTATGAATGTATTAATCATTATATAAAATGAAGAATTTGCTTGTCTGTTACCAACATAAGAGATTTTTAATTAAGCAATTAAATCACATGATTAGAGTTTATTATAAAAATTAATGACCTAATTCTTTTTAAAGATTGATTATAATTAGAAAAGATAAGAATTTATTGCAAGAAGCAATTATTTAATTGATCAATCAGAAGAAACAGAAGGAGAGAATATTTTATTTAGAAAATTAAGAGAATTCATAAATTCATTTAGATAGGATATAGATAATAATTATTTGACATAAAATTCTTAATTGAGTACAAGTTTTAAATAAAAGAAACATTCTTAAATTAATAATGAATTCAAACGATCACATCAGAGAATAGCAAGTTATAAAAGAGTAGTTTCAGCTGAAAAATCTCCAGGTTCTCCAGATGATAGAATATCTATAACTTAATCTCTTAGCTAATTTTATTATAAACCAAATACTATTAAAAAAAGAGTAGGAGAACAAATTTAATTAATTGAAACTTAAAATAATTATACTACTACTTATTCTTTTCATTCTGAATGTTTTGGTTAAGGATTATAAATAACATCTAAATAAGTTAAACTTACTACTGATAATGAAAAAAGAATAGCACTTATTAAACCATCTATTTATGGAAGTGGATTAGCTAGAGAATAAAGAATAAAATTATTAATTAAAGTTTGTAGAAATTCTAATTAAAGATATCCTATGGCAATTGGTATATGTGATTAATCAAAATTATAAGAAGATAATTTTATATTTTCTGGTTCTGCTGAACATGTTCCAGGATCACATAATAAAGATCATGGATGTTATCTATTAAATGCTAATGGATATATAAGATCAATGAATGGATTAGATATGTCAAAGAGTTCTCCAAATCTAAGATTTTATAGTAATTCTACACTTGAATTGACATTTAAACCATTCCATAAATAATTAATAATAAATAGAGATTAATAAGTTTAAACAACAATACCCTTAGAATTTCATAAAGATTAAAAATTATTCTTTTGTGTTAGATTGGCAGATTTAAATGATTGCATAGAAATTTAATGATATATTATTTATTATTATAATATTAGAAAGTTTTCTTTAAATAATTTTCTTTATCAAATCATTCTTAATTACGTATTAAATTTACATAATCAATATTAAGGATGATATTTTCCCTTAAAATATGATTAAATATTGTAATATAACATTAATGTTAAGGCATCTTTTGTAGCTAATAAAAATCGTTGAGTTGATCCTTGAAGTAAAAAAGTTAATTTTTAAGATTTTAATACTTAACTTGTACAATCAATAACATTTTTATATTTAAAAGATGCTTGGTTAAAATTTAATGAATCAGCTTTCATCATAATCATTATTTTGAAAAAAGGAAAAGATATTACATGAGAGACAAAAGTTAATAGTTAGACCCAAAATAATTAACCAATAAATGGAAGAGCATCTGTAATCTCTTTTGTGCTATCGAAAATACCAAATTATAGACCTCTAAATACTACAATTGGGGAAATACAAGCACTTAACCCCCTATAGTATCCAAATATGCCATCATTTTTAAATATCTCAATTAAACAATCTCTCCACTTTAGATCAATTCTTTTTCCTATTTTTTATAAATATTTAGTTCTTTAAGTAACAAATTCATATGGATACATGACCAACATAGTCGAAGCTCCAGCTAAACTACCTATAAGTATATTCTTTAGATGATTATAATGATTTACTAAATAGATGAATAATATATACTTCTTTTTTTTAATTATTTTGAATATAAATCCTTAAAAGCAAAAGCTAATGATTGATGTGGAATATACCTGATTGTATTTGGAATAATCCCTTTCCAAATGTGCATATAATTCTTTAATAAGTCTATTATAAATATACTTTTTATTCATTATGTTATAGAATAGACATTGGATAATTTTCAATAGGTGTACAAAGACAATTTGAAGTAAAAGAGGATGTTGCAGCAATAAAAAGATCTATAAAAAAATCAGACATAAAATTAATAATTTATGATTTTGAATATATAAAACAGGATTTAGTAATGGAATACTAATATTATATATAAATTTAACTTTTTTTTATATATATAATAAAATTTTTCATTAAAATTGTGTTAAAAATTCTTCTGCATTATATATTTTATTTCCACCATAAATTATCACTTTATTAATACTTTTAGCAAAATCGCTCAATTCTGCATATTCATTATAACATGCTCCTTCTGTAAAACATATTAATATGCCTTTAATAGTAGATAATAAACCAAATTCTAATCTCTATAATATTATGAATAAATACTGATATATTCTTAACTCTAGAATCATACATTGTTAATATTGATTATAATTCATCAATTTTCAATTCATTTAAAAATAGATTTTCTAACATTTGAACAATTGCAGATTTCTTTCCTCCTATCAAAATAGGATTAAATATTTACTTTACAATAAAAAGTTTTAAACATTTTTCAATAGACCTTTTCCAGAATTAGGCATCTTGGATGTTATTGCAGCAAATAAAGATTTATATACACTTTATTATTTATTATTTTAATTGGAAGCTACTCTTTATTTAAAATTAGATAGAATATTCAAATATTTTTCATTTTTTATTTAAAAAATCTATTCAAATTTCTTAAATTCTTATTAATTGTAATTATTTAATAACATAAGTATTAATAATCTTAATTTATCTATCTCTTTAGATTATTCAATTTAATTATCTTCTGATTATGGATAATCATTAATTGTTAATGTATCATTTTATAATATACTTTATCCTAATTAATAAAATTTATCAAGTGATTTTTATTTTGCAATTTAAGTCAATTATTTAGCTAAATTAATATGTGAATCAACCATCTTTTTTTATTGATTCATTTATGGTACTAAATCAATTGCATTTAAAGCACTTGAAATTTCTTAATTTTATTATGAAACTTATTAATATTAAGAATTCCAATCATTTAATTCATTATCAATTTTATCTATTGCTTCTGGTAAAGCCATATTACATGCTTAAAGCCATAAATTATCATATTAAGGGGAAAGATCATATACTTAATCATCTAATTTAACTTTATTATATTTAATATTGAGAGTATCATGTAATAATGCTCCATATGTATTTGAATGCATTATTAAAGTATTAAGATCTATATCTCTATCTGGTAATATAATTGCTAAAAGAGGATAATCAGAATTAAATTCAAGTTATTTTAGTTTTTCAATTAATTCTTTTGCAATTTATTCAATTTTAGAATTCTTTTGAAATAAAATTAATGGTTAAACTTTAAGAGCCATAATAATAGAAAATAATCCAGTTACAACTTAATTTTCTAAATTAAAGAAATTATGATTAAGAGCAACAAAATCAAGATTATGTTCATATACTTTTTATATTTTTTATACAGCTCCACTAATTTTACTAATTTCTTTAGCCATCATTTCTAATAAATTATTTTCAATAGGAGATGAAAAATTTATATAAACTTCTGAATAAAGATCTCGATTAAAGTCTTCAACCAATTTTTCAATACTACTTTATAATGGTTATAAAAAATAAATTGCTGTAACTCCATGTAATCTCTCTCTATTTTAATCAAGATTAAAATGAAGAGTAATACACATTTCTCTCAAATCTCCTACTCTATAAATTGTTGACAATCTTTTTTCACAATATGAATCATAACATAATATTTTCCAAGGAATTCTTATCTCTGGTTTAAGTATTGGAATTAAGGCATCTCTTTATGCTTGAATAAGTGACGTGTTTATTTACATTTATAATTAAATTATTATATATATATATATAAAGACATTCATAATAATTATTCATTTAAATGATTACATGATTCATTTATACATATTATATATGATGGTATCTTATTATGTGTCTAATGCAAAAACAGAATTAAAAATTTATTAAAATTTATATTTCTTATGAAAGCAGCTTATATTGTTTCTGCAGCTAGAACACCAATTGGTTGTTTCTTAGGCAAATTGAGTAAAGTTAAAGCAACAGATCTTGGAGCTACAGCAATTAAGGGTGCTTTATCTTAAGTCACAATACCATCAGATGCTATAGATGAAGCTATATTAGGAAATGTTTGTTCAGCTGGAATAGGCTAAGTATAAATTGATTATTAATAAATAGGCTCCTGCTAGATAAGCAGTTATCAAAGCTGGATTACCAACATCTACTCCATGTACTACTATAAATAAAGTTTGTTCTTCTGGTATGAAATCAGTTACTTTTGGTTCATAAAGTATTCAATTAGGATAATCTAATATTGTCATAACTGGAGGCTTTGAATCAATGTCCAATATTCCTCATTACATTAATGCAAGATAACCACTTAAATATGGAGATGGAAAATTATTAGATGGTTTAGCTACTGATGGTTTATCTGATGCTTATAGTAATGTTGCTATGGGAGTATGTGCTGAAAAGACAGTTAATGATCTTAAATTAACAAGATAATTACAAGATGATTTTACAATTACTAGTTATGAAAGAGCACTTGAATCAATCAAAACTGGAAGATGGTCACATGAAATTACTCCAGTTTAAATATCAGAAAAGGAAGTAGTTACTGAAGATGAAGAGGTTAAAAGATATTAAAAGGAGAAAATTCCACTTCTTAAACCAGTTTTTGCTAAAAATGGTAGTGTTACAGCTGCAAATTCAAGTAAAATTAATGATGGAGCATGTGCCATTATTTTGGCATCAGAAGAAGCCTTAAAAAAATATAAATTGACACCTTTAGCTAGAATCGTTGCCTATGCTGATGCAGAACTTGATCCAATGGATTTCTGCATTGCCCCAGCTAAATCATCTGCCAAGGCACTATAAAGAGCAGGGTATATATATATATATTATTCATATTTTTAGACTCAAATTAGCCAATATCGATTACCATGAAATTAATGAAGCATTTGCTGCCACTGTTTTAGCTAATATGAAATTATTAGATTTACCATTAGATAGAATTAATGTTAATGGTGGTGCAGTTGCTTTAGGTCATCCTATTGGTATGAGTGGTGCTAGAATTATTTTGTCTTTACTCACTGTATTAAAATAAAATTAAGGTAAATTTGGATTAGCAGGAATATGCAATGGTGGTGGAGGTGCTACATCAATCATCATAGAAAACTTAAATTGAGATTTATAATACATAATAATATAATCAATTTCCTAAATATTTCTATATAAAAATAAATAATATATCTTAATATTTGTATATTAATAACTTCATTTTTTAAATTTAACACATTTTCCATTCTCTAATTGTAAATCTTATTATAATTCTTTAATTTATTAATCACATTTCACAGTCAATAACTATCCGTTTAAAGTAAATTCAGGTTTGGTTTGTAATTTTGATTTAATTAAAGCAATACACATTTTCTTTGTCTCATCTGTAGGATCAGGAAATTCATAGTGATAAATTATACTTAGATTTTCTTTTTTCAATTAAACAGGTTTCTTGGTAATCTAAGATTTTTTTTATTGCTATGGATGTTAAATTTATTGTTATTATTAAGTTTATGTCTTAATTATTACTTTAGGCTCTTCTTTTGGATATGGTTTTTGGGTTGATTTAATTAATTATATTTCTTATTTAAAATCTTATTTAAAATCTTATTTTAAGTCACCTAAATCAAATTCAGCAAGATCATTTTTTTAAATTCCAGGAATAATATCAACATAATCTCCATTTAAATCAAAAAAGTAAATCTATTATATAAAGATATAAATACTTGATCATCCTCACATTTCAATTTCCACCCTAAAGGTTCTCCAAATCTATCATAATAACATCCATTTTAATCAAGAAAGTTATAATCTGCATCCAATTCAGTAATATTAACTTTTGGGTTGTGTTTTGGTAATGTAGATGGATCTTTACTATAAGGAACAAAAAATCCTTCAAAATTGTAAAAGAAAGTTCGATTTTCAAATGTTTTATACCATCCTAATGCTTCACCTAAACTATTATAATAACAATTCTTTTCATCACACCAACTTTTAATAGAATGAGATTTATGTACCCATTATTAGAGTCTAAAAAGAAAGTTGATCCATCTTATAATTGAAATGCTGGTCTTCCATCAAGCATAATTTCATAAAAATTCTTAAATCTATCTGGGTCATGATCAGGGAGTGTTTCTGGATCAATTTCTGTAGGAATATTCATTATTATTATTATTATTAATAAATATGCATATCACTTCTCACAATCATTTAATTAACATTCTCAATATTTATTCTTTAGTAATTAGAATCACAATTTATACTATACCATTTTCTCTCTTTATTTCTTAAAATCTCTCTTACAATTAATGGTGCTAATTCACCACCTTTATCTCCTATATCTCCTGAATTGTATTTAAAACCTATTTCCTCTTTAGGAAATACTAAAGGGATATAATCATTTACTTTTAATCTCTTATATATTGGATCCAATTCAATAAGAGATCCTCCTAATCTAACACCCGTCTAATATAGAAAATCAGGAAAATTTTTCATATAACTTTAGTATATTTTGAGTTTATTAATATCAAATGTAAATGATTTTGCAATATCAAGAGACTTTTTATAATATTTTAAAGCAGTTTCTATATTATCTTATGCAATTTATTGTCTCTCTTATTAATAATACAAAAGATTTTTTTGTTCTTTAATTTTATATGCTAAATTTTAAGCATCTTAAATTCCTGTATTCATTCCAAATCCACCAGCTGGAGGCATTCCATGACATGCATCACCTACAAGAATACAATTATTCTTATAATATTATTCTGCATATACTGCACCCATTCTCCAAAATCCAACAGATTTTATTTCTATATCATTTATTTAATTAAGTAATGTTTTATTTATTAGATTTTTAATTAAAACATGATCTTATTTAATATGTTAGATTTCTTATATATCAGTTTTACCTGTCAATAAATCTAATGGTATTTAAATGGCAAAAGTTCCATCTTCAATTCTATGTTTAATAATTACTGCTGTTATATCAGAATTATATATGAATGATAACATTGAATTATATTATTCAAGTCTATTTATTAATTATTTAGAAGTAAAATGAATATTTAAAAATCTTTAGAGATCTCTATTACCAATTAATTTAATTTTTAAATAATCTCTAACAAAACCATTCAATCCATCACAACCATATAAATAATCACATGTAATATCATCATTAACTTTAATAATTTTATCCTTGAATTCAATTTTCTTAATTTCCTTATTTAATTAAATTTTATCTCTTATTCCTTATTAAACATATTGAACAAAGAGACTTTATGGTAAATGAGCATAACTTGTATAAGAATATTATTTATAATCTATTAATTAACTTGTACTATTTAATGGTGTTTCTCCAATTCTACGTAAATATACATAATTAGAAAAATGTTGGATATTTTCTAATGGTAATTGTATGTTTAATTCATCAAGAATCTATATATAAAATATAATGTAGTACTTCCATAGTTCTCATATTTAAATAATGAGCTGATGGATGTGCAGATAAAAAGGATTGCTTTTCGAATATTTGAAAAGGGATGTTAAATCTCTTAAAATAATGTCCCAAAATGAGACCAACTCTATAAAGTTTATAATGTATTACGGTCCAGCACCAACAATCAAATGAGGAATATGCACCATATTTATAATATATAATTAATAATCATCTTTTTTTAAATCCGTATTTCTTTCTTTCATAAAATAAATCTGTTTTAGCAGATCCCAAATTTACAATTTTAGGACATCCATCTCTATCCTTTTCTTATTGAACACATTCTCTACAATAATATGCATCTAATATTATAAATTATAAATACCACTAACTCCAACACCTCCACATATAACACATCTACCTTAAAAACTTCCATAATTGCATTCATCACAAATTTTTACTAAAACACTAGGTCTGACATATGAATCACATATCACACATTTACCATCACATTTCTCACATAATCTACCAATTGCTATACCTGGTTATTTACGACACATAATTAAATCGGGATGATGTTTTGCCATTATTTATTATTATTATTATTTATAAGTATATATTCATTTAGATGTAATCCAAATCTTAACCTTTTTATCTGCTGAACAACTAATCAAATATTAATTAAATTGTAAATCAGTTATTTAATCATTATGAGCATCTAATTCAATAAGAGATTCAATAAGTACTGTAACTTTCCACTTTTAAATTTCTAATCATTATAATATTTAATTACTTCCTGATACATCTCCAGTATAAAATGTATCTAATTCTTTTCCTTCTACTGATGCTGTAAATGAACATCTATGTTTAATTGTTGTAACCAATTATAATGCATTATCCCATAGTCTAATAACACCATCAGTTCCAATAGTAATTATTCTACTATCATGCATAGGTATTATTCCAATTATTTCATTATTACTTGATTATATTACATTATCAACATGAAATACATTACCTAATTTCCATTAATAAAGTCTTCCTCCTAAATCTGCTGAAAATAATTTATTCTCAAATATTGCAAAACTACAACAATCATATTTATGCATATAAATTAATGGAGTTAAATTTATAAATAAATATTCTATTGGTTAATCTGCTATTATTTATTATTTCAATTTATAAACAATTAATTATGTTTGAACTAAAATTAAGAATAGATCATTGATCAATCCAATTTTATTAATCACTCCTATATTAGGTGTTATAAATTCTCCTTTAGGTATCCATTTATCCTTTCTCTTTTCATACATTAATACTTATGTTTAAGTCAATAATGCTATTAGATTTTATGTTATTTCAACTACTTATTTAATATTTTAATTATTTCCCAATTATTACATTAATTTTAAACTAGGATACTCAAAAAAAGAAACTATTGTAGAACATGTAACAATTTATCCATTTTTCATTCTAATACATGATATTACATAATTTAAATGATCAATTACTCCATATAATTAAAAATTTTCAGTTTTCTCAAATTATAATTATGTATTATCAAATTTAGTTGGTCTTGCAAGTAATGATGTATAATCAATTGATTAAATATACTCTTATTATTTATCAGGATATAAACTATCAACAAATTCTTAATATGTCCCATAAGGTTTAGATGTATGATATTCCTTAGGATTTGATAATTATATTGCACTCTAAAATAATCTATCTTCACTTTATTTAAGTGAATTCTCTAATTTTAAAACATTTTCTAATTTGATTTATTATTGATCTAATTAATATTAATTTCCAATATAAAATAATCCATCTAAAACTGTTTTTACTTAATTAATTTATTCTCTTACTTTAGTAACTATTCTAATTTTATCTTTTTCATATTTATTAATAACATCTTATGATCCTTATTATAATATTGGCAATACTAATTATAATCCTTCTTCATAAACTTTACCATCTTTCATCATTTCAATATGATCAATAATATTCTTTAATTATTTACTATGTATCCATTAATTATCAATAAGTGATATTAATTTCTATTCTCTTTAATTAAGAATTTGATTTGTCTTTTCTTTTAAGTATTAAAATTCTTTTTTAATATGTTAAATTATGTCTTCCTTATAATAAATTCGTTTCAATCGTTCAACTTCTGATCTTAGTTAATAAAATATCATTTACCTTTAAAATTCATATAAGATCCTATCAACAAATTTGGAGATGGGAGTTACATTTGTATCAACATGACCAATATGTTATTAATTTACACATGAATTACATGCTAATTTATATTTGCAATCTAGTTTATTACAAATATGAGTGGTTTTGGAATTATGTTAATAACAATTCATTAAATTATGCATATTTAATATTATTTTTATTAATAATAAATATATCGTTTTATGAGAAAGAGATTTCATTTGAATAAATGGTACCATTCATTATATTATTGCCTATTGTTGATAAGTAAAAACAAAAATAATATATAATAGTTTCTTGGTATAAGGTATCCTACCTTTCAATAATAAATTGGATCTTCTACTGTATATTCACATATTACTTGGGATATAAATGTAAAATAAATAAATAATTTAAATAGTTTTAAGTGAGGAAATACTGAAAAAGTTCAAGTTAATAATAAAATGCCATCTTATAATATCATTGATAATAAGTGTATATTTTGTAATAGGATTGTTTCTTAGTTTATTAAATAGTGAAATACAATTGGTAATGATAGAAAGATTGAATTTCAATAGTGAAATATACATATTTGGATATGAGAGTGTATTTGCATTGATATTATGTTAATTATTACTTTATCTGACATTGGTAGTATTTTTATTGTTAATCTATTGGAATGCTTAGATGCCATAATATGAATGGATAGAACAGAATGAGAATTATACATTCTAATAGAGAAAGACTAGTTATTTGAGATAATAGAGTATAATGGATAAAATTATAATATTAATAATAGTTTAATTATGTTTGAATGATGGATTAATAACATTATTTTTAGTACTTTGTATGTTAGTATGGTTAGCAATTCATTTTCATATTTTAAATAAAAGAAATAGATTTAGATATTGTTAAATGGTAATAAACAGTATTATAATATGTTCATTTATTGCATTACTATTATTAATTTTATCAGGATAATAGAAATATAGTTTCAGTACTTTAAATGGAACTCTAAATATTTATAGAATATTTAAATTATTAAGTTTAGTATTGATGACTTCAATATTAATATTGAGTATGAGAGCATATCATTATTAATTAATAATAGGTGAAGAAGAATAAATAGAAGATTTGGAAAAGGAAATCTAGAAAGATATGAGATTGAAGATATCATCATTAGAGATATTTTTAGGAGAAAATTATTTTGGAGTTATTATGATTTTAAGTGTTTTTTGGATTTCTAAATAATTTAGTATATTAAGAGGATTAGTTTATTTAATATTATTAATTGGATAATTAAAGAGAAAAAATTATAAAGCAACAAGACGTTGGTAATGTGCAATTGCTATATTATATTTAGCATTTGTTCAATTTTTCTTATTGAAATTATTTAATGTACCATAATTTAAAGTAAACATTTACTTTTAATATTTGGGAGTATATGAATAACCATAATTTAATCCAAATGAATTATTTGCTATTTGGAATTACTTTTATAATAGATTTAATATTATTATGATTGATTTATTCTATATATTAATAGTAAGTTGGTTAGTCTATTCATAATAGACAATAGATGATAGAAGACGTTAAAAGAAGATTAATGATTTGGATAGTAAAGATCGTCCTAATAGAGAATAGAATCCTAGTTGTTGGAATAATTTCAAATAAAATTTATCAAGTTTAAAGTATTAAGTTTAAAAGAGTTTTTTAATTCATTTTGATGAAATAGTAATCATATATTGTTTAATAACTGCTTTAAGTCATGCAGATATATTTAGAGGAGTCTTTTTGATATTCTTTATACTTTATGTTTTTGCACAATTAGAAAAAAGAAGGAAATATATGAGAAATCATTTAAGCATAGGTTATATAATATTATTCATATTATATTCTATGTAATTGATGTTTTTGGGATCATTAACAACACTTAATTTTATATTTAAATTTGGTGGTTTAGATGAAGTTACTTAATAATTTAAATTCTCTTTTTATTTCATTTATAAATATTATGATATAATTATTGGATGTGTATTATTAACATTTTAAATTTAAGTAATCTAAAAAAGTGATCATTATTAAGAATATAAAAAGAAATTAAATGATTATAATCTCGATTATTTAAGATAAATATTATAAAAAAATGGATTAATTTTCTGTTAAATTATTGCTTTAATAGTGGCCTTTATTCCACCTGCCAATTTATTATCACTCATATTTATATTCTTTTTTTAACTATTTCTCTATTTATATTACATTCATGGTTAACTTAATATTATTATGGATAGATTATACTAATATTGGCCACTTATGATTACTCTAACATTGATTATTTTAATTGTTAGATACACATATACTATTAAATTCTTTTATTATTTTGTAGAATTATATTTTTAATAACCCACTCTTTTAAGTGATTTTGGATTAGATCCAGATTTTAACACACTTAAATTAGCAGGTACTGGTATTGCATTATTAGTTTTATGTGCATATAAAAGAGCTTATTTAGCACCTTTAATAGAATAATAAAAATAATAGAAATAAATTTACAAAAAAGATACTCTTACTTATTATTTCTATTGTTTTTACATTAAAATTTGTGTATATAGTGTTTATCATATATAAAAAGTAACTTTCATGTTTTCATTCTTCATTTCTGTATACTAATAAAGTTACATAGGCTTTTTATTTGCAATAATGATTTTCTTAATTATGCTTAATGAAATGAATAATAATTGGTAAAATATATCTATACCTATTTTGGTTATCATATTCATTTAGATCCTCATTCAATATATATTCTAAGCAGAACTACTCAGAAATGCTTAAGGTTAAGAAACTATCTCTTGGATTGGAATTGAAAATCAATATTAAAATAAATATTGGTATTTACTAATTATGTTTCATCTATCAGAAATGCTTTAAGTTTTAAATATAATGTTTAAATAATAAGTAAATGATTATTTATCATTATTCTTAATATCTACAGATAGAGAAATCACTAATCTTAATTTACTTTAATAATTATTACATTCATTACAATAAAATATCATTTAAGAGTAAAATAGTATTGAATCAGAAGCTTCATAATAATAATAATAAATTGAATTATAAGCAAAAGATGAAAATTCATAGGAATCTATTTTTTATGATGAATTAGATGAATAAAATGAAAGATTTATTAAAATTTAAAATTATTATTCTTTTAAATCAAATATGCAATAAGAATAATTTTATTATAGAATTTATCCCTTTTATAGAGCACTTAAATTTCATTAATCAATTGATAATCTGTTTACTTAAATTGGATTGGAAGTATGTTTATTCTTTATTGTCATTACTGCATATTATTAAAGGAATTTCTTTTCTGTTTTCTACATAGTTGTTGCAA